GGCGGGAGTGCTTTTGCAGAAGGTAGAATCTTTGTCATGTAAAACGCAAATCAAATGGAAACAAAACACGCAATTTAAAATGGGAAAAAATGCGATTCCTGAAATAGGAAAAACTGGAATTTGTTGTGGTTGAAGTGGATTCGAACAACATCACGGGTAGCTACATTTTTCCGAAGCCTTCTCTAAATGGCTTTGTCTGGGGGTTAATATTGGTAAAGGATCTTATGCGGCAGCCGAGGTACTCAGACGCCTATTCCTTCCAATCACGATGCCACCATCAACAGCGTTTTCAGTGTGGTGTTGATGTAGAAAGGCAACTACCCCAAGGACCAAGCTAATGTGAGGGCGTGCCAGCTGCCTATTTTTTTCCATTTCCCTGGTTTGGTCACTTGCGCCAGCCTCTAATGTCCTGTCACGTTCGGCTGCGCATCATAGCGGAGCCTTTCATCACACAAATTAGTTGGCTGACACGCACACACACGCACAAATCACACCTTTTTATCCTCCTCCTTCTCGCTCCACTAGTTCTCGCTTTTGCCCTATGAAAGGAAGCCGCTTCCGCGCACAGCTTTGCGGAAAAAGCAGCAGAAGAAAGGGAGGATGAAGAGGAAGGAGCAATCTCGCTTCAATTAGCTCTCTAATAGTGTAGGCAGATGAAAGGTGATAAAGGTGTGACCTAAATTGATCGCCTGATGCGTTTTTGCGGCACATTCCTCCAATGTTTGGACAGTGCTTGGGTGTCGTGCTTGGGAAATTGAATTTGGCCAATTAGGCGTTGACACTCCGTTAAGTCCAAGATCATGGAGATGTTGGCAATTTCGACACAGCTGACTACTTTGTCAACAATGTGGGGCAAGGTGTGTTTCAGTTATGTAGGAACTAACAACTTAAAGTAAAGAATGCCAATGGACAAGAGATCACACATGGAAGATTGAACTGGAACCGAATCGCCGTTCTTGACAAACAAAGAAGCATTCACGAAGAATCTTGTGTGGTTGCTGGTGGTCAAAATGATGTGATACTCCTCCACAATTTCAACCGAAACCTCGTCATAGTGTTAATTTGAGGGCTGTCTAAACAATGCATCCTCAGCTTACAGTCCGCGTGGACAATCTGCGAAATTATTGGTTCAAAGATCTTGGCAACGTCACCTGGACTAGTGGTTTGTCTGTTCCAACTATCTGCCAGATGGTAGCTTATCAGAACGACACGTGTCTGGCTGATTAATCGCACATAATTCAAAACCAGCGCCCAGAATCTGGACGAATAAGTCGCGTTGCACAGAAGACATGACTGTTTCACTTGCCTATATACCTTTCTATTCATTGTATTGGACTGTATGGAGACAATTTATGGGAAGGTACAAGTCAACAGTGTGAATCACAGTCAAGTTTCACACAAAAGTGAACTTTAAACAATAGTGCAAACCGGTATTTTGTCATTATTCCGAGTTCAGTGACTTTCAAGCACTACTGAACACGGTTCAATAAGTTGCCACAATTGACGATAGACGCTTGTGAGACCTTGTATTTACACAATGGAAGAAGGTATTCTACGAGGTTAGCAAATTCCTTGACTTTCCAGCGACTTCATTGGTTGCCAACAATAAGCCTACTAAATGATTGGTTGGTTGCTTGGAAGCAGCTTATTATACGTTACTCCTTCTGGCGTTCCATCTCGACTGTTTTTATACCACACGATCCAATTATGATCACTTGGAACGCACCAGCTGCACCCTCGTAACAGTTGGTTGGTCGCGTTGACCAAAATTTTTTAAATTCACGATGTATGTAGTTGCTGCTGTATTGGGTTCACGATCAAAGAAAATAGTGGCACTGATCTTGAACTTGTCATGCTGAGTGCCGCCTGTACAATTTGTTTTTATTTTCGCGTAACCCTTTGTTTTACTATACTGGCTTCGTTGGAACACTATTCGAAGTCCTGGATTGGTTTTGCTATTTTCTGATTCTGCTTACGAAGTTACTATTTACACAACCTGTGTTCAATTAAGCAATCAGAACCTAAGCACATTTCAGTGTTGTATAAGTCAAAAATGTTACAAATGCCAGAAGTTCACTAAAAGCAATCATACCGTTCTATAACTATGAAAATCGAAATAAATGTCTCGCCAATTATAAAAAGCGCAGGCAGGATACACCGCCAGTCACGTTCATTCTGACTTTGCATTGATTTAAGTCAGTGTTGCTTGTCTAGGTCATTTGCAAGGACAATGGGATGCCAAGCCGAACAGCTTCAACGGACGTTCACTTGGCTCTGCTGGATGTCAACGACTGTGTCCCGATGTTCTCCCAAGTCAAGTATAACTTCTCTTTAGCAGAAGACTATTCCACCTCGTTTCAAGGTGAACGCTACGTCGGGACGGTGTACGCGACTGACTGCGACACCCCGCAATTTAACAGGATCTTTTACCGGCTGTTGAACTCGTACCATCAATTCAGGGTGAGTCAATGTTTGCGCTTTTTCTAAAACATGGCCTCAATCTTTTAAATTTGAGGACTGCGATCAGGTGTATAGGTACACGTGGGTGGAAAATGCGCAAATTTTAGATAAAATCGATAGGGTTTGAATCAATATTTACGAATACAGGGGCCAAAGGTGTTACGTTTGCCCATAACAAAGAGAAACCTCTCAGATAACGGTACCAGATCCCTTGTTGACGCTAGCACCGACCTTTCCACGCTAATACTAGAACAAGACCGGAGCTAGTGGGAAGATAGCTTTAATTACGTCAGCCACGTGCGACGTGTGTTGTCAAAAAAACTGATTCAAGTCAAGGTTGACCTTGACCTTATAAAAAGCCTAATTAAACAAATGTTAGGGAATTAGTGTAAATAGTGCCAAAACTAACGATGAGCAATCTTGGGGTATCGTGGATCCCCAACAAAAGGTCGCCTGCTCTGGAACATGTCTAATACCCGGTAATACAGCCTTCAACTGACATTGTAGCGCCAAGAGAATTAATTGAAAAAAAGCAAAACGTTTGCCCCACTTGGTCGTGGCAGGCAATGCAAGCTCGCCTGAATGTTTGAGACAGTTTTTCAAGAAAGTGGGCTAACAACAGATGAATCATCTGCTTCGTGAAGTTGGGTTTCTTAAGATCTCGAAAATATTTTCAATTACGTTAGTGTCTTAGCCATTTAGAGAGATTCTGCTAAAAGAGAATTGTGATTTCCGTGGTTCGCACATTTTGAAAACGTGGTATATGTTTATTTACATTCCATGTAGTTTGATTTGTCAATGGGAGTACTTGCAGAACGGCAGCCTGTATTCGTGAGATTGTCATAAATCAATCAGCATTTGATTCCCATTAAAAAAAATACATTTGCCCTCGTAGTTGGTGATGATTCCCCAAATGTTTTGGCAAAAATGTCGCTTGGCTTGAATCAGCTTGTGTTAAGGTCACCAAACACTACTCCGCCTACATTATGGGTGCTTTTCTGTGACGATGTGTGGCATTTTCAAACCTTTCCTTGGTGGACAAGACCAATTCCTGATTGACCACTCATTCTGCTCATAAGTGCTAGGTTTACTGTCCACTTGAACTATGATAAATCCTCACAATTCACAATCTCAATGCTGGAAATCATTGAATTGATTAAAATCGGACTGATACCACAATAAGCTGCCTCCTTGTGTCTTCCTTTATATCACTTTCAGTGTCGACGTAAGGCACTTTTTTGAAAATTCAGACCTTAAAAACCACGTGGAGAATTTACATCTCGTTCCTTTGCTAAGTTACAAAAAGAAATACCATTTCTTAGCAAAAAACTTTGAAAATTGGCGGCAATTTAGACGCCGACAATTGTGCACTCGAAATTGAACAGCGAAAATCAATAGTGCACTTAAACAATCATTCATTTCCCTGAATTACCCAATTAAGGATTAGAATGAATCAACCGGAACAAACATAGCTCAACCTTACCTACACCCCCGGCTAATAACCTCGATTTTACAAAAATAGTAGCAGTCAACTGACAGTACAAGTTTTACCCATGCATAATACCTGAACAGCTTTGTCCTCAAATCTTGTTTTAATCAACTCGCGAAGTAGACTTTAGTTGTTTAACATTTTTGACATTAAATGCATCTACTACTTATATTCTTCTAATCTGGGATGTCAAGTTGACGACGAAGCGAACTCAACTTTGGCGAAGTCGCATTTCAAAAAATAGGCACTTGCTTCCCCCTAGTGTTTAAGTTTTAATTTAATTATGATTAGACGAAATTTGTACAGTTTTTAATGTTGACGGCGATTCCATAGTACCATTGTCCCTAATTTAATTTGCTAATTTATAATTTAAATCTTGCAAATATTCACTTCAATTTGTTCTAATAATATAAATAAGTCAGTTGTCAATGCCAACACCAAGGTGATTTGTATGCCTTTTGTAGGGTGGCCTTCCTAAGTATTAATTTCAGTGGTTGTGTGGCTACACCAAAGGTCAGCGGTTTGACCATCCACGGAGATCACTGACTATTGAACGTCGGAGGGCCATCTTTGAAGTTTAGCCCTGTGTTATGGTTTTGTGCACACAATCACACCTCCAGCGCATGTTAGAGCATCATTCATTAGTTTCGCGCAGCGGTGGCAGGCAGGATTTGCTGTGAACCAGCCGTCTGCTTTCCGTTTCACCACTTATCACACCCCGACCAGAATCCGCATCATCGTCATCATCCTCTTAGTCATCCCCACCACGTCACCATGCTACAGGTAACAGCGAAGCAGTCGCCTTCAATAGAATAATGAGCTTTGTTGCAAACGTTAGCCTTTGTAGATTTGAGCTGACTTTGAATTAACTGACACAAATAATTAGGGGCCCAGCATGTGGTCTTGAATGACGCCGGGGCCACTGAATTAACCCTGGCCCAATTCCTCTTTCCTGATACCCTCGATGAAGAAAAAGACCGGAGAGGACGTGGACACAACCATTTACGTCAGAACTCAACCACGTTGGTGTCGTTGTGTCGTGTGTGGGGTTTGCCCATGTGTATTTATACCTCGGATGTGGAGTCATACGTCCGCTAACATCGAGACCCATGTGTGAGGAGGTGGCAGTTGAGGATCCGCGACATGCTGCGAAAAGAGGAACACTGTGTCGGAGGATGGATCGACCGGATTAATTAGTGTCAATAAACACATTCACAACAGCCTAAACCACCGTGCATGAGCTTAAGCCCTCCTTACAGCCGCTATCTACTCTGTAACACTATTGCAAACTAGATCAAAGAAGTCACTGTAAAGTTCATTTACCGTCCTGTTACTAAGCAAATATGAGTTATATTCAGAGCTGTAACAATTTCAACTCATTTGAGGCTAGAGACATATCGGCCAACCAGGTTCATTAACTAAGGAAACTAATAATAACCCATCACTAGATGTAGGCTGTTATTTAACGGCAAAGATCTGAAGTCGCATTTAAACAATCACGGCACAAGAGTCTGAATCGCAGTTTAGAAAAATAAAATTATTTTTGGAACCGTTGGTGAGCCTGGTAACCTTAAATCTAATTATAGAAGCGTGCCATACATCCCCATTTTCGAGGTTACATGATCTGAGGCACCGCGAATGGGCAACTGAGAGGCACGCAGGCCGTTTGCACATGAAAAACCGTCTAAATGTCAGCATGTTTTGCGTGGCTCTGAAGAACGCCATTATGCCGACGCTAACGAGTTTCCGTGGGTGTCATTTGCGACAAGTGCTCATGAAACACACCCATTTAAATACGTCTCCTGAAAGAACGAAATGCTGGCGTCCACGAAAATGAATTAAAACACCTACTGATGGACGGCTGAAAGGTGAGGCTAGGATGGATCTAGCACTGGAGCCATTTCGACAGAATGCTTCGTCAATGTCAACCAGGATCTGCATTCGTTTGCAGCTTTCCAAAACAGCAGTGTTTGAATGAAGGGCAGTGGGCGTGCCTCTTGAAATGACCTCGAAATTGTGTGCAGGGAAGGCAAGGGTGATTTCTTGTGTAACCGAACCCTGCATGGTGTTGATTTGGTAGGCCTGACAGACATTCTCATGCGTTAGCAAACCGAAATTATCATGATTGCAATGCCTGCATTTTAAAGCGATTCTACAAGATTGGACCAATCATGAATACCAATACGAATCGATGAATTATTGATGTTGGAACGAATGTCTGATCATCTATCAGTAAATAGTCCTGTTGCTAAAAAAGTTAACGCATTCGATAATGATTTGTAAGTGATGATAACACAGTCCTCATGGAAATTATGTGATTTCTCAACTTTGCAACTATTAATACATGCCTTTGTCGTCACCGTTTACGTTTAATTGTTGAGCGGAATCCACAAATGACATCCACGATACTCGACAATCTTTCAAGAATGCGTTATTGTCCAAAGAATTGATTATCTGAAGTCAGATTTATGCAATCCCTACCTGACAACCTAGTGCTCAGTGGAGTAGAATAAATAGAAATTTAATGAATACTAAATTTCTACTGCTAGAACACAAAACGCGGCTACTCCCATTGCACCTCTGCCTGGTCAACGTACACATCCAACTCTCAGCCTCGTGGAATACCTCGGTCATTGAATCTTCAACTTCCTCCCTACGCCTTATAAATATTCTATCAAGAAAGAAGTATTTTTGCATACATTTTATCACTTTTGTCACGAATATGTCCATCAAACTACCAGAAGTAGATGATAGAAGCACAGCAGTTGGAAAATCTTGTTTGGTATTCCTTCACATTAACAGCCCAATAAACCTGCAGTCTCATTTTTCGTAGGGGATTAAATGGCAAGGCAATTGGGCGCTGGGATTTCTTATTTTATTGGTGCATGTTGGCCCCACTGTGCGCCTTCATAGAGGTTCACATGATTTGTTTTACAAATTCAAAAAAGCCTTTTTTGTGTTTTACTCCATGGAGGGAAGTAGTCCGCGTGTGGGCTGCACCTTAGCTGAAGGATATAAAAAAATCCTATCGGTTATAGGATGAAAGACCAGCTGTGTTATCTAACGTGGGTTTGTTCAAGCCTGGGAAACGGGCAGGTGTTTGTGGATGGAGTGATGCTTGCCCATATTTCCTCCGAAATCACGCAAGCGTGAAAATAGCGACAATAATATTAATATGATGGACAAATGACGCTTGGAGGCAGTGTCTGGAGCGACGTTGTTGAGACAATCTTGCGCCTATTTTTGTTTTCTTGACAGCTTCATTTTCGCGATTCGTGAACACATCGTAGATATCTGTCTAGATTGGATGGTTGGTGGATGATACCCACCCCCCAATGCTTATTATGTTCGCGTGTGTGGTTGTGTTTACTTTACGGTGGCGAGATTAGTATGCCTAAAAACGCACGCCTTATTTGTTGATTTCGATAATTGCTAACAGTAACACTGTTAAACACTGATCACCCAACCAAAACCCAACAAAAATCGATCAACTGGGAGGCACACAGCTAGTGCTGTGATTGGAGCATGTCAGTCAAATTATCGATTGTCAAACCCGTGCAATTAGTATGATTTTAGTTTCATGCTGAAGTGACATCCTTTTGACCATTCAGATCGATAATCGGGGCCGCATTTACATAACACGGAGTATTGACAGAGAACAGGAGTACGTGCATGAACTCCGCGTCATCGCGACAGATGGACCAGACATCGACGAGGACGACGACGAGGTAAATCGAGGTCGATCGTATCCCGGACCAACGTATTCCTCTAACCTCTACAACACAGCGACCGCAACCGTGCGCGTATTTGTGGACGATCTCAATGACAATTTACCGCACTTTGTGCATCCTACCAACACATCCAATTCCGTAAGTGTAGAAGTCTAAACTAATGCATGAGTTGTGCGTTGATTTAATTTTTTTTGTGGAAGTACAGACATTCAAAGAATCAGTTGCTTATTAGCATAAAATCACCTAGCATTAAATCTTTAAGTGTCAAAATGCAACTCAGAATTACTGACACTGTCCCATTTCGTATACGAATTATTGAAGCAGATTAAATGTGGATCAGCGATATTGATATTAATCAATATTAAAACTCATTCAATCAATTTGGTGGGATCAAAATGAAATCAATGCGCTGTTTGAGCTATTTTCAAGGTAGTAAACGCTCAACAAGTCTTATAGGGGAACGCTAATATTTTTCTTCTTTCTTTGATCTCATTGGTCAATTGGTGATTTATTCGGAGAAAGGTTATTGGCTGCTGTTGCTCTGGTCTAAATAGAGGTCGATAATGCATGCTTGTTTGGACGTAGGTCTTGTTGACGTAAACTCTTACTGTTTCAAAAATCGCATTAAATTGTCACTTTTTCACTGTGAAAACATTTCAAATTTCAAAATATGACTTCTCAGCCAAATTTAGACATTAAGCAGGCATTTTAACAACTTACAGATTCCCCAATAGCATTCCACGATTGAAAGTGTGCCATTTGGTTTAATCTTGGAATCCATTTTTAGATTCATGTGTCATTCCAAGAGGATGCGGGATTCGTCCTAACTCGCATGGTAGCGATCGACCCAGACAACGACTACAACGGTACAGTATCCTACCGCATAGTGAAGGGAAATCCTTATAACATCTTCAAACTCGGTGACAGATCTGGCGATCTCTATATTGCTAGCAAGATGACTGACGCGCATCAGGTTAGTTAGTCAGATTGATAGAATATTAAAATTGGCGCCATTTTTCAGCCAATCACCTCGTCCCTACCGCAAGCAGACCCAATGACCACCTTTTGATCATTCTCAGGTGAGGGCTGGAGTTCACATTCAACAATGACTCAACAGTGAATTAATAAATTCAATTAGCTTGGGAACACAGATTTGGAGTGTTCAAGGGTCAAGGGTCAAATCCAACATTCTGACAAACATTGGGAACATGGCTGCTAAAATCCTGCTGAATTAAAACGTACCCAGCTGTCTAACACACTTCATAATTTCACTAATTCTTGGTAATTGTAAAATGATTTCCTTATTTCTTGTGTTCAAATTAATCGCTAATTCTCCACTTGTAGTAGCTGCGTGCGCTTCAAACGTGTGCTTCCGGTCACATTCTAACAGACAACTGTTTTCATGTTTTGATCCAAATTTCCGCTCGTACAAAACGCCCAGGAAGTAGTAAGAGATTTTAGGCATCAGATTTATCCAAAATCAAACTTGTTTGCGAGCGATTTAAAGACACACTTTTCTGAACAGTAAAGTATTTAAAAAAATGCCTCCTTCGAGCCAACTTTTAATTTGCCGTCGTCTTTTGAAAAGAAAATTGCAATAAGATTGTAATTTTCTGTGAAATCAAGTCCCTTTATGAAGTCTTGCGACATTTTACAGGATGTTAAAACCGCCAACTGATTCGAGGTGTAGGGAGAGGGAAGGGGGCGGGAATTTACAAATGACTGATAAGATCTGGGGGAGGAGTAATTAAATTAAGGTGAGTGAAGCAGTTTGACCTTCTGCTAATGAGCCCAGTCTCTTGACCAAAAAAAGCTGCATGCAAAATTTTTGTCTCTAGAATATACGTACCGTGTGGTTATGAATGCTAAGGAGCTAATTTAAACAAACTGGATTTTCAATTAACTGTTTGTTTTTTTGGTTTAAGCACCTCTCTTGGGAATTCGGACGATGTGGCGGGTCGTTTAAATTTAAAAATTGCTATGATAAACACAGAATTATCATCTAGATGCATTGATTAAGATTCCTTGGTGTCAAAGAGGGTATCTGCAGGGTTCTAATTCAGTGTCCTAAATGTGATGTAGCATAGTTGTCCTTTCAGGTGTGAAACTGCAATTTAGCAACTGGGAAGAATGCAAAAAGTGCACAAAACTTGTACATTTTTATTGATAAATGCTTATAAGTAGCAGAATGTTGTGCAAAATTGGGCTGGTGAGAAAATTGGGTGTGAAGAATGAAGGAGTGTGGGAAGTTTGCGCAACTTTAACGCTTTCACATGTTAGATTTTGGATCTTGTCGACCTCTAAGGCATTTCTATCTCGAGATTATGAATAAGACTGCTTTTTACAAGCGATTGTCTAGCACTGTCTACTTGATCGAGATGAGATCTGCACTCGGATGCCCCTTCACGTAACGCTCTTAAATCAGTAAGTGCAACAACTATGGCCGTAATGATCTTAAGTAGCCATTTTCTAACATCTTTGAACAAAAGCCGCGTCAGCAATCTGACCGGTTTTGACTTCAGAAACAGACATTTGTCCTTCAGTTATTTGGGAAGCTTTGCACAAACCTGGTCATTCAATTGACGATGGTGTAGCGCTTTGACGATTGGTCAGACCTTTCCTGGCGTGTCATACTCTCGTTATTGGTTTAATTAAAAAAATTTGGAACGACATTATGTTCTTAAGCTGTCGATCTATGATTAATCAAGTCAGCATCATTTTTGGGTTACGATATTCTATTCAAAACATAAGTCCATAAATCCACATTTCCAACCAACGGACATGACACACTGCCTGTTGTGTACAGTAGTGTTCGCCTCCAAAGCAATGACTGCTCTATCAACTGCTCTGAGACCGCATTTGAACTCAGGAAGCAGGTGGTTAAAGAGTTGTCGATTTTCATTAACTCAGTATTTCCTAATCGCGGCTTCAAAAATAACTAGAAAAATGTCTGGTTGCTTCTAGAAAGTGTCTAGTAGATACATTGCTGTCATCGTTATAGGGTAAATATACACTGCGAATCGAAGCAAAAGATCACGGAACAAAGCCCCTTGCCTCAGTCACTGACGTGCACATCTTCGTCGACGACAGTCCCCCAGTGGGTTTACACAATGACTTCCTCCTGGGTCTGGGTTCCGAGGAGACTAGAGGCGCCGTCAGCGGCTCCGTTGGCGGCATCTTCGACGGCCTAGAAGCCGAGACGATGGTAGTCGTCTACATCGTCGCGGGCATCTGCTTCGTCTGCCTGTCGCTACTCATAGCCGGCGCCATTTTCTGTCGCAGGCTGCGGACTCGCATGGATCCGAGAGGAGGGGGCCGCAGACGCCAGAAAATCAATGGGTTTATCGAGGCGAACGCGGCCGCTCACGACGCCAATTGTGCTGGAGTCTCCGGCTACTACCAGAAGGCTGAAGACACCTACAAAATATCAGGTAGTCCACAGTCTTAACATTCTTGCGGACCACAACGATGTAGTTGCTTACAAACCAATGAAAAATCCATTCGACCACACTAATACCTCCTTCTTAAGTATTCTACACAGGATTAGGCCGTGATAAATGCTGTTCGATGCAGGCAGATTTCTTGGGAATTGAATGTTGAATCTCAAGTAATTTATCAAATAAAAAATGCCTATTCCGGGATTAATTAATTTTTCTAGCCAATTTCGAGTTTCTTTTAACAAAGCTCCAGAAGGCGAGGCGTGGTTGATGTCGAAATCGGCGCCTGGTCAGGTTAGTTCGAAATTCATTAATAAGAAATCCCAGTGCCTAGTAGCCGTCTCACCTAACCCCCTTCGATCCCACTTGCATGCATGAAAAATGAAACCGTGGGCATTTCATTTGAAGTGGAAAATCCAGCAAGATGGTTTAATTGCTAAGCTTATATAGGCTTCTTCGGCTAGATTTGCTTCAGATTTAAAGGATGTATTTGTAGTGAAGTGATCAAATTTAAGTTAACACGAATTCTTTCATAACACCAGTAACGAGTAATCCTGTCAAGTGATTGCGGCAGCCGGGTGAGATTGGCGGAGACTATAGATTCAATGACCTGTGGAGTTGGTGAGGTTGGGAGTCGGATGTGTACGTTTATGCAGTGGCTAACGCTGCATTCACTGTTCTACTTCACTGAGCACTAGCTTGTTAGGTGGTGATTGCATGAATCTAACTCCAGATTTGCCATTCGTTGAACAGTGACGTCAACTTGATCGATTGTCAAGTTCTACAGGCGTTGTTTGTGGCTTCCGCATTACAGTTTAAGAAAAATTGCAACTGATGACAAATTTGAAAATTGTTTATTGAGATATGGAGTTGAGAAAACAGAGTTTCCGTTTTACTTGCAACGCATTGCCACACACACCAACTTCTTCACCAACAGTGTTATTTGCTGATAGATGATCAGATATTCAATCCAACATCAATAATTTATCGATTCGCATTGATATTCATGATTGACCCAATCTTGTAGAATCGTGCTAAAATGCAGGCATTGCAACCATGATAGTTTCGGCTTGATAACGCATGAGCATGTCTGTCAGGCCAACCAAATCAACACCATGCATCGTTCGGTTGCACAAGAAATCACCCTTGCCTTCCCTGCACACAATTTCGAGGTCATTTCAAGAGGCACGCCCACTGCCCTTCATTCAAACACTGCTGTTTTGGAAAGCTGCAAACGAATGCAGATCCTGGTTGACATTGACGAAGCATTCTGTCGAAATGGCTCCAGTGCTAGATCCATCCTAGCCTCACCTTTCAGCCGTCCATCAGTAGGTGTTTTAATTCATTTTCGTGGACGCCATCATTTCGTTCTTTCAGGAGACGTATTTAAATGAGTGTGTTTCATGAACGCTTGTCGCACATGACACCCACGGAAACTCGTTAGCGTCGGCATAATAGTGTTCTTCAAAGACCCGAGAAACATGCTGACATTTAGACGGTTTTTCATGTGTAAACGGCTTGCGTGCCTCTCAGTGTCATTGAAAATGAAGCTGCAATTGATTTTAGAGGAAACATCTAGGTAATTAGATTCTATGTCACTAACAGGTCTTCATATTTCAGTTTTTCAGAAAAATTATAATCAAAAATCAAGATGTCATCACGTTTACTAGCTTAAGGTCGTGAGTACTCACGAGTTTTAGTTAGTAGAGAGCCTTTTCTAATCGCTGAGAATTAACTGACATCAGATTCATCTTTTTGCCAGATTTAAACACACACTCAAATGAACGTCCGATAGTCAAATATGGGGTGGATTCAGTTTCACTGCGTAGACACCTCGTCTTTCTGTTAGCTATCTGCCAATTACGATTCTTATTTGCGTTTCAAAATTGTATTTTATGTGTTGAAATTAGGCTATTTCAAAATCGGGCCTAGAAGACGATTATTTTACATCAACGATCAAATTGAGTGTCGGCCCGCCAGTGCGATCTTTAAACACCGAAATTCGTTCTACAGTCAATTAGAAAAACCAGAATTAAGAAACGTTAGAGGTACTACCTAGGTTTCTTTATGGCAGGAGCGACATCAATCGATTGAAAAAGGGGTCCTGATTATGAAATTTCAGGAGTTTTGATCAATGGGTTTGCTTGAAGGCTGAGGTCATTGCCACTTCATGTCGTTTAAATCAATGTCTTCAAATAAGACCTCTTCATTAGCCCCAACCCCACCTGTCCAGGTAGAATAAATACGTGAAGATGACCTTAGCTGCAAGGAGCCAATAAGATGTGGGTGGTCAAAACCTTTTTTCTCTAACAAATAACAGCAGTAATGCCTTTTTTGACGCCTGATTGCTGTCAAACGCAGTTCTAGCACATGAAAAAACCTTACTTTAGCTTCGCCTACAATTGATATATTCAGAGGTGGATCTAAATGAACCAATATTCTTATTACACTAGGTGAGGCAGCACGTGATGATTTATTCGCCAGGGATTTATCGCCTTTCAACGACGGTCTGAGCTGCGATGCGATTCCACCAGAGCGACGTAACGGGAAGCTTGAGTTTCACCAGATGTCGCAACGACTTGACGAGCCCTATACGATAAGAATGAGTTCGCTGGCCGGTCATCGACCTGCTAGCAGTATCGTCGCTCCCCCTGTGACGACGTTTGATGGATCACCAGCGTTTGCCTACCTCGTATCCAATGTTGTCGCGACCACTTCGGGAGATATTGATGGGGGTTGCAGCGGCGGCGGGGGTGGTGGTGGTGGAGAGTTTTATCTCGTTCCACAGGCTCCTACTTCGACGAATGCGTCAACGGTAAGGCCGACTGTTAAGAGCGTTTTTGTCAAATCGGCTTTGTAGTAACTTGAGCACTGTTCGACCGTTACCCTCGCACATATTAACGATGCAAACACATGCAGCTAATGTATAATTAGAAATGGTGGACTAAACTAACTAAACGAGTATAATTCTTAAGATTGAAGAAGCCATCAAGTTGTCTTTGTCACGTCTTTGCAATCACAAATCTGACTGGACAGCAACTGACGTCCAGCGTGAGCTCGGCCAATGGGCTTCATGTGCGTGACAAACAGATTGGAGTGGTCCGACAAATTTTCTCCTTACTGTGTGATTCTGGAGTTTCTCTAAAAGCACTTTGTCTTATCGTGAACCTGTCAGATTCTGACTTGACGAGATAACGCGAGTAAATGTCATATTTCAGTACAACTGGCATTTGCGAATAACATATATTTTAAATCGTGTCACGATAAATTAGCCATCTGTTGGTTACGTATTTACATCATGGGGATTATAAACTAGTTTATGCTTTTGGTAATTAAAATTTCAGTTAAAACGGTTGTTCATTTACGTCTTTTATGGACAGTCATTTAAAATCATGATCCGAAATGTGTAACGAAGAGGCAGGCAACCCGTTTGGCCACAAACAATCGTTGAAATGTTATAGTTTTTCGCTTGTCCTAGATGGACACCTTCAAGCTCATGCTGACGAGTTTCCGTGGGTGTCAATTTGAGACAGGCTCATTTTATGAACCACGCTTACTTGAATGCGCCACCACAAAGAATAAAATAGTGACGTCTACAAGACGAGATTTGAATGGATCTGACGTTAGAGTTATTTCGGAAGGATGCGTGATCAGAGCCAATCATAACCCACACTCTCATTGCAGAAAGAAAATATGCGCGTAATTGAATTGAAAGAGAAGAATCGATCGAATTTGATGGGATGATTTCACGCTTAAAATGATATTATTGTAGGACACCGATATTCTGAGGTAACTTATTTCATTCGTCTTTATCCTAGCACCAAGTTGTCCTAGATTGTCCATTTTGTGATTTATTGCTAAAAAACTGCCGATCATTTATTGCTTCGGTTCCATGCGTGCGTGTGGCTGTTATTTGTGAAACACGAAATAATTGCCGCATTAAAGTGCACTTGTGTTACAAACTGCCACAACCTCCAAACATTTCGCAGCCTGAAATCGCGATTTTGTTTATATGTCTGAATTCACACCAATCAAAAGCAGGGCACTTTGGATTGTAGTTCTAGAAAATTCTTAAGGACTGGCAATGCGGGTTACATCAGTCGCTTCTTATCTGGCGTTAGGTAGGATATCAGAACGGCCTTGGATCGACTTGTGTTCCCCAATCTCTAGTGACTGAGGAAGAAATGCCTGACGAGACAGACGAACTGTAGATGAATGCCTGCGCTATTTTTTCGGTGGTGATGTTTAGCATTGAATGAGTATCCTGGCTTTAGTTGGAACGGTTGACGCAAATAATTTGAGAACAGAAATTGGTGGATTGTAGGAACAAAGATCAAACTATTTCGAGTGTCTCGAATTAGGGACGTCCTGCTATGTCAACCAACTTTGGTAATTTTAAAATCTTGCCTAAATCTTGGATCAGTATTGGGTGTCTGGAATAATTGCAACCTGAACATTCATTGATTCTATCGAATATCTCCTTGCTAAAGAATCACTTAAACCAATGTTGATTCTCTAACTACATCATTGTTGAATTTGGTTTGAAATTTCAAGCTGTGGGGACTAGATGTTTACTACAACTTTTACCAGTTGACACCGCTGATTACGTTGAAAAGCGACGTTTTGTTTTGACTTCTTGTTACGTTTTGTCCACCACGATAACTGGTACTCCAGAACACTTGCCTGACGCTAGACCCCACCTTCAGCACGTTGATGTAATACAAGACCCCTTGCAGAGAGCTTTTAATGTTCTTACCAAAAACCGAGTAATTTTGTCGAAATGCGCCTTGACCTAAGAGATGGAGGAGGGTTAAACCGCAACGAGCAGCCCTGGGGAATGCTGGGTCCCCAGCACCTCTCCCCCTTGAAGAAGATAGCATGCGTCGACTAGTCAAATTTGATTCGGTTGTGGTGAGCAGCACGCGAACGAACATGATTCAATTGATTTACGTGAATGAACTTCACCTAACTATGTTCGTTCAGGGATCGACGTTTAACAAGGCTATATAAACGTACTTGTTATCTTGTACACGCACACACACACACGGCTGCATCAAAAAATTAGTTGAACTACGAGCCGTTCAGATTTTCTGCTCTTTCGGTCGGGCCTTGTCAGTGTAGACTGTCGGCCCTGGTGTGGTTTCTAAAACCGCACCGGGGCCAACTACACGGTGTTCTGAGGGGATTCCCGTTGGTGTCGACTGTTAAGTTTTTTCGACTAGCGATTCCTGTAAAATGCCTCAGTGATGATTTGGTGATTTCGCGTCGTCTTTGGAGGAGTTGGGTTCAA